GTGTGTGTGTGTGTGTGTGTGTGTGTGTGTGTGTGTGTGTGTGTGTGTGTGTGTGTAGTTGGCCTAAGTGGAGCTAAAAGTTAGGCATTGGCTGTTTTTCTAACAATTCAGATTTTGTTAGAAGAGTAAGGATATTTCTTGTCTTCCCTGAAAACAAGATAAACTGTTCTCAGAAACAATTTCCTGCAAAAGAACTGGTCACAAAATTGGATACTTGTGTCAGGCAGATGCCATGAAACCAGGCAGCACATCCTCAGAGAAAAGGTCAAAAGCATATCATATTCCACACTCTGAAGCTCTAGAGGAAAGGATAAGAGTCCATATGTGGCCCTGTTAGCAATGACAGAATTTATGTTTTTAACTTTAAAAATTCAAATAGAAGAAATTTTATTTTTAAATTATAAAAAAGAGTAACTTTTTTCTTTGTTTTTAAGAGATGGAGTCTCTGTCACCCAGGCTGGGGTGTAGTGGTGCAATCTCAGCTTACTGCAACCTCTACCTCCTGAGTTCAAGCGATTCTCCTGCCTCAGCCTCTTGAGTAGCTAGGATTATAGGTGTGCATCATCATGCCTGGCTAATTTTTGTATTTTTAATAGAGACAGGGTTTCACCATGTTGGTCAGTCTAGTCTCGAACTCCTAACCTCAAGTGATCTGCCCTCCTCAGTCTCCCAAAGTACTGGGATTACAAGCATCAGCACTGCATCTGGCCCAATAATTTTAATATACCAATTCTTGGGAACATTTTTATGAATCAACATCACAGAGCATTTTTATCCAAAAATATCAGACATTGATTTAAAATGCTATTCCAGAGGGAGTTAGCTAAAGTAAACAAAAGAACATAAGCAAGTAGTAATCATCCTTCAGCATCCATGGGGGCACTGGTTCCAGGACCCCTATGGATACCAAAATCGTCAATGCTCAAGTCCCCGACATAAAATGGTACAGTAATCACATATAACTACGCACTTCCTCTTGTATACTTTAAGTCATCTCTAGATTACTTACAATATCTAATACAACGCAAATGCTATGGTAACAGTTGTTACACTGTATTGTTTCACTTGTTTTTTATCGTTGTTGTTGTTGTATTATTTTCATTGGTTTCTTTTTTGATCTGTGCTTGGTTGAATCCACAGATGCAGAACCAAGGGACATGAAGGAATGACTGCATCTCCTTTATAACTCCAAAAAGATCTAGATTCTTATAACTATAAAATTATCTACAAAGGACTGAATATTTGTCGACGACCACAGTCTTCCAAAAAACTAGAATGTTTTGGTCTAGATCGGGTACTTCAGAAGAGACTATCTGAATTAAGATCACTGTAGAAAAAGTCAAGAGTGCCATCCACTGGTGGTTATTTTTAAGTTACAGATAGGACCCCAAGAAGGAAAAAAAAACAGTGACCAATAAAACAGATCAACCAATAAACTATTTTCCTCAATTCAAACATCACTGAAGATCTCTTCGATTTTACCATTAGACATACACCTAAAATTAACCGACCATGCTAGTGGAAACTAGTGACAAGAAAAAAACAAAGCAGCAGATCATCTGAAAAGCTTCTGTTTGGCTTGGTTAGTAACAGTTCAATAATCTGAACAATCTAACGTTTGCCCATCCTCTTAGTTTAAAGTGGAACCCACAGGAGGGTAGGAAAATACCTACTCTGCTTTTCAAGGTTAATACACTTTCCAAGAAACTTACCAGTAAGAAAACATATGAGCATTCTATACAACAAATTATAAATTCTTAATAAGGTATGGTAGTTAGCCGGGCGCGGTGGCTCAAGCCTGTAATCCCAGCACTTTGGGAGGCCAAGGCGGGTGGATCACGAGGTCAAGAGATCAAGACCATCCTGGTCAACATGGTGAAACCCTGTCTCTACTAAAAATACAAAAAATTAGCTGGGCATGGTGGTGCGTGCCTGTAATCCCAGCTACTCAGGAGGCTGAGGCAGGAGAATTGCCTGAACCCAGGAGGTGGAGATTGCTGTGAGCCGAGATCGCGCCATTGCACTCCAGCCTGGGTAACATGAGTGAAACTCCGTCTCAAAAAAAAAAAAAGGTATGGTAGTTAAGATATGAACTCCAGAACAAAGGAAACAACAAAGATAAAAGGAAAATCTAAAAGACTTATAGAAACCATATAATATAATATATGAATGTTTATGAAGTAATCAAGAAAATGTGAACACTTTGATATTTAGTAAAAAAAATTAACAGTAGTAAAAAAAATTAACAGTAAAAAAAATTAATAGCACGGTAGTTACATTTTCAAAAAGACATCTTGTAGAGATTCCTATAGAAATGTATGAATGAGCCTGACGCGGTGGCTCACACCTGTAATCCCAGCACTTTGGGAGGCTGAGGTGGGCGGATCACCTGAGGTCAGGAGTTCGAGACCAGCCTGACCAATATGGTGAAATCCCATCTTTAAAAAATAAAATAAATAAAATAAAATAAATAAATAAAAGAAATGTATGAATGAAAGCATGTCTAGGATCTGTTTCAAAATAATCCAGATAGAGGACAAGTGATTGGAGGCATGGATGAAATAACATTGTCCATCGGCTAATACTGAAGTGAAGTGGTAAGTGTTCATTTTACTATTCTACTCCTACATACGTTTGACATCTTCCATAGTAAAAAAAAAAAAATTTGTTGAGAGTCTGGCTCTATTTCCCAGGCTGGAGTGCCGTGGTGTGAGCTCAGGTCGCTGCAAACCGCCTCCTGGGTTCAAGTGATTCTCGTGACTCAGCCTCCTGAGTAGCTGGGACTACAGGCACACATCACCAGACCCGGCTAATTTTTGTATTTTGTGTAGAAACAGGGTTTCACCATGTTCGCCAGACTGGTCTTGAACTCTTGACTTCAAATGATTCACTCACCTCGGCTTCTTGAAGTACTGGGATTACAGGCGTGAGTCACTGTACCCAGCCCAAAAATTAATTTTTAAATGATATTATCTAATTTGGGCATATCTCCGAAGTTCATAAACACAGAGATGTTAATATAGTAAAATTAATTTTACTGCCATGTATTTAGTTTAAAAAAGGCTTCTTAGTATTTACATCCATAAAAACAAACAAAAGCACAAAAATTAACATTGTCTAATTTTAGCAATTTACTCAAGAAAACTGAAAAACAGCACCATCTATCTCATTTAAAGACATATTTCCAATATAATTTAAATACATTTAAATTGTTTTGGTCAATTAGGTACTAAAAACAACTTTAATGATAAGTCAATTGAGGAGAATTTGTCATAGAATTCTTTAAAATATTTTAAAGTTTCTTTTATATATGTTACAAATAAAAAATTCTTAACTATACCATATATTATTAAGATGCACTTCTGAGGGGAAAATAAAAATAGTAAAACAAGCTCAAAGAAAAAAGAATAATGTAAAATTTCCAAATCCTGAATTGGTGTTTTTTTTAACAGGATAGTAGTTATCACATTGCTATGCTATTTAGATCTCATTAATACATTTAAAAATAACACAATTTTACATTGAAAAAAATTTCTTAATGTCACCTACCGATGTCCAGAGGGGTATATTATTTTCAAAATTCTTACAGCGTTTTCAAAAGTTTAAAAACTCTTTCCTAGGGGACATCTTCTTAATCTTTTTTAAGGTTTATGTGTACATCTTTTCTATGTTGTATTTTGTTTAAAGGGAATGTTAGGCCAGACCTAATGGCTCATGCCTGTAATTCCAGTATTTTGGGAGGCTGAGGTGGGAGGATCATTTGAGCCCAGGAATTTGAGACAAACCTGGGTAATGTGGTGAAACCTCGTCTCTACAAAAAAAATTGAAAAATCAAGCCAGGAGTGGTAGTGTATGCTTGTTGTTTCAGCTACTTGGGAGAAGGCTGAGATGGGAGATCACCTGAGCCTGGGGAGGTAGAGACTGCAGTAAGCTGTGATCACGCCATTGCACTCCAGCCTGGTCATCAGAGGGAGGCCCTATCTCAAACCAAAAAAAAAAAAAAAAACGATAACATACAAACTTCTTGGCTGAGCACAGTGGTTCATGCCTGTAATCCCAGCACTTTGGGAGGCCAAGGCAGGTGGATCACCTGAGAGCAGTAGTTCAAGACGACCCTGACCAACATGGTGAAACCCCATCTCTGTGAAAAATACAAAAATTAGCTGGGTATGGTTGGCAAGTGCCTGTAATCCCAACTACTTGGAAGGCTGAGACAGGAAAATCATTTGCACCTGGAAGGCGGAGGTTACAGTGAGCTGAGATTGTGCCATTGCGCTCCAGCCTTGGCAACAGAGAGACTCTGTCTCAAAAAATAAAAATAAAATAAAAAAACTTCTTAATTTCAAATAGAAATTTCAGCATACTAAGTACCAAAGCGGTTCCAAATAAATCTGCATGCTCACATTAGCGTAACTTATCTCGGCACGTGCTTCTTCCCAGTTAGGGCTAGATCCCTCCAAAAGACAATACGTTAAGTTTCTGTAATTCTCAACAATAGGTACTGACCTTGACAATTTGGTTTTAGGCTTTATTCAAAAGTTACTTGTGAACTAAAATTGTGAGTATAAAAATAACTTTTTAAAGGAATGGATAAACGTAGAAACTCTTAGCAAGTAGAGAAATCAGAGTCACGGGCATCCTCTAGTGAGTTGCCTCACCTCACAGGAACTGATACTGTCAACCCTAGTTACTTACAGTGTAGCTAAGCTTTTAAGAAAGAAAAGGAGAAGAAGAAAAAGCAGTTATTATCACACGCTTCTTACCAGCTATGATTGTTGTTGCTTGTCGCCTCACATTATTTTTATCCATGTATTCACCATAATCTATTTTCCCTTCCACATAAATTCGAGACCTGATATAAATAAAATTTAGTTTTTAGCTGAGATCCTAATACGTTTTATAAGACTCAGGTCAGGGTGATACTGAGTACATGACAAGGATGAAATATATAATCATACATAATTTCATTTTTGCTACCACTTCTAAAGGTTCAGGATTAGGAGTACTGAAACAGTGTACAAACAGACTGGATAACATATAGATAAAACAGACAATGTTTTCATCCGTCAGCTATTCCCCTTATGGAAGTCAAAAATTAAAACAGTTCAGAGAGCAACTTAGCGGCAACTTTTAAATCTCTAGGAATAATTTCCAATGTATCATTTTCCTTAATCTTTGATTTTAGAGTCCCCAGTACACTTGATTTTCATTTACTTACCAATTCTTTTCTATAGTGAGGTTCATGACCTTAGAAACTTAGATGATTAAAATTCAAAATATGGATTTGCAGCTTAGTATAATATTACTAAAACTTTTTCTACACTGTATCAGCTTAGTATACCACTTAGAGGTAAATACTAAGACTATCTCTACACTATCTTGAAGGCTAAACTAGATAACAAACCTAACCATGATTTTCAAGGGTGGAAAAATGACAATAGCACCAGTTTTGAGAGCCTGCAGCACCAAAAAAGTACAACACAGAAAGATTAGTAAAATGTCAAGTGCTCCCCACCCCCCCACACACATCCATCAATCAGTAAGTGGGAGTGCAGACACTTACCTTCAAATACCTTATATGTGTTTGTGTGTATGTGCACATACTCATAAACACATACACAAAGGGCAATGAAGATACATATGAAGAAAAGCTAATCAGTTATTGAAAAGAAAAATTTCAGTGATTGCTATTTTTCATGAAATTTGTTTTATTTCTAAAACAAGTATACTTCTAAACATATTAACTATTAATACAACTGCCGTTACACACACCATGTTGTCCTTCCATGAGTTTGGAAAAGATGCCTTTTATACATACTCAATTCAAGCATTCCAAAGGGAACTATGAAGCCTATAGAAACACATCAAATATGACACTGGGTGCGGTGGCTCACGCCTGTAATCCCAGCACTTTGGGAGGCTCAGGCAGGTGGATCACCTGAGGTCAGGAGTTCAAGACCAGCCTGGCCAATATGGTGAAACTCCATCTCTACTAAAATACAAAAAAATAGCCAGGTGTGATGGTGGGTGCCTGTAATCCCAGCTACTCAGGAAGCTGAGGAAGCAGAATTGCTTGAACCCAAGGGGTGGAGGCTGCAATGAGCCGAGATTGCGCCATTGCACTCCAGCCTCGGCAACAAGAGTGAAACTCTGCCTCAAAAACAAAAAAAAGAAAAAGAAAAAAGAAAATCAACTATAAAATACCTGCCATGAAGATTAAGTCAGTGTCAGGCTTCAGACATTCCAGATCCTCTGCTGGAAGCATCGTATGGATGCCAACAGGCAAGAAGCCACCCTCAGCATCCCTGGTCACAGAGGCACAGGAACTCCTAAAAGCATGCTACATCATTTGCTCATATGGCACTTGATACACTTTGCCTTCTCTCCTGCCTCACCTATTTCTATTTATGTACACACCTTGTTTGCCCTGAACTCTAAGTTCTTAGAAAGCTAAAAATATGTTTTTTATACCTTTGAATTAGTCACACATGGCAACATGCCATGCATATTGTATCAAGGACTTAATAAATACCTCTTAAATTAATAGAGTCACTAGTAGTACTCAGGGATTTAAGAGGCTACACACTCCTTGCCATGAGAACACTTCCTATCAGTTCTTTTAACCATTCAATCCATAAGATCCTTCCTTCTTCAACTTACCCCTTTCTCACATACTGATATGCCACATCTCTGAGGCCTGGCCGGAATACTGATATTCTGTGCCACGTTGTCTTTTGACTGACATCGCCTAAATCATAAGAATAGGAAATTGGTTACAAATGCCAACAGACAACATGCTCAGGAAAGCCAATGTCACAATTTCTAAGAGAACAAACAAAATGAAAGACAGATCTTGTTTAAAGTGGTTTATCTCTAAATTAGATAACTGGCAATAAATAATGTCTATTTATTGCTGATAAAATTAAAACCCCAGTCTTTTCTACTCACCCATTTGGTAAGCTTCACTTTCCCCTGATCGCCACATCTCATTTGTTGCTAGAGAAAATATTGTGACTGGATTTTTTCCTTCCGCCTGTCTCAAGACAGGGTCCTGACCCACTCGCCCAAGTAACTGCACACGATTCAGGGCTGAAATGCAACATCAAGACC